AGGATTTCTTTGGGTGTCAAACAAAAAAGCTTGAAAGTATGCACGTTAGTATACTAAGTTTGGCAGACTTTTGGTGTAGGATATTACTCATGTTTATGACCTCTATCCCCTTGTTGGCGACTTTTACAGTCAAACAGGCTTTAACAGTAAAGTTTGTGTCACATCAAGCTTTTGTAAAATCATATTGAAATGATCATAATGCAGAGAAAAGCAGGAATACGGCTTGGTTTGAACACGATGTATGTCGTGTTGTTTCTATGCAATGTCCCCTTGTTCAGTACCGATGGTACACCTTCAGTACGTATGATAGCCTCTATTTGTCCCCCCTCCATGCCCACGTGTATAATAGCCTATATTTGTCCCCCCTCCATGCCCACGTGTATAATAGCCTATATTTGTCCCCCCTCCATGCCCCCGTGTATGATAACCTATATTTGTCCCCCCCTCCATGCCCACGTGTATGGTAGCCTATATTTGTCCCCCCCCCTCCATGCCCACGTGTATCATAACCTATATTTATCCCCCCTCCATGCACACGCGTATGATAACCTATATTTATCCCCCCACCATGCCCACGTGTATGATAACCTATATTTGTTCCCCTCCATGCCCACGTGTATGATACCCTATATTTATCCCCCCTCCATGCCCACGCGTATGATAACCTATATTTATCCCCCTCCATGCCCACGTGGATGATAGCCTCTCTTTGTCCCCCCTTCCTGCCCACGTGTATGATAACCTATATTTGTCCCCCTCCATGCCCCCGTGTATGATAGCCTCTCTTTGTCCTGTATGATAACCTATATTTGTCCCCCTACATACCCACGGGTATGATAACCTATATTTATCCCCCTCCATGCCCCCGTGTATGATAACCTATATTTATCCCCCTCCATGCCCACGTGGATGATAACCTATATTTGTCCCCCTCCATGCCCACGGGAATGATACCCTATATTTATCCCCCCTCCATGCCCACCTGTATGATAACCTATATTTGTCCCCCCCTCCATGCCCACGTGTATGGTAGCCTATATTTGTCCCCCCCTCCATGCCCACGTGTATGGTAGCCTATATTTGTCCCCCCCCCTCCATGCCCACGTGTATCATAACCTATATTTATCCCCCCTCCATCCCCACGTGCATGATAACCTATATTTGTCCCCCCTCTATGCCCACGTGTATGATAACCTATATTTGTTCCCCTCCATGCCCACGTGTATGATACCCTATATTTGCCCCCCTCCATGCCCACGTGTATGATCGCCTCTCTTTGTCCCGCCTTCATTCCCACGTGTATGATAACCTATATTTCCCCCTCCATGCCCACGTGTATGATCGCCTCTCTTTGTCCCGCCTTCATTCCCACGTGTATGATAACCTATATTTCCCCCCCCTCCATGCCCACGTGTATGGTAGCCTATATTTGTCCCCCCCCCTCCATGCCCACGTGTATGATATCCTATATTTAGCCCCCCTCCATGCCCACGTGTATGATATCCTTTATTTATCCCCCCTCCATGCCCAAGTGTATGATATCCTCTATTTATCCCCCCTCCATGCCCACGGGTATGATAACCTATATTTATCCCCCCTCCACGCCCACGTGTATGATAACCTATATTTCCCCCTCCATGCCCACGTGTATGATATCCTATATTTAGCCCCCCTCCATGCCCACGTGTATGATACCCTATATTTACCCCTCCATGCCCACGTGTATGATAACCTCTCTTTGTCCCCCCTCCATGCCCACGCGTATGATAACCTATATTTGTCCCCCTACATACCCACGTGTATGATAACCTATATTTATCCCTCCATGCCCACGTGTATGATAGCCTCTCTTTGTCCCCCCTCCATGCCCACGTGTATGATAACCTATATTTATCCCCCCTCCATGCCCACGTGTATGATAACCTATATTTGTCCCCCTCCATGCCCACGTGTATGATAACCTATATTTATCCCTCCATGCCCACGTGTATGATAACCTATATTTATCCCGCCTCCATGCCCACGTGTATGATAGCCTATATTTATCCCCCCCTCTCAATGCCCACGTACGATTCCCTTTATTTGCCCCGCCGTGATGACACAATTCATTTGCATTGCTGTAAAGCCTCTATTAATGCATACATGTTTTACTTTTCAACGTGATACTAGTAATTTTAACAGATGAAAATAATATTTACGGAGAGCTCTGAAATCACAATCAGAAACGATAGGAAGATATATGCAATATTTGACGTACATGTAACTGAATCTTCAACAGCTTTTTTTATAATATATCACAATGTAAAAAGTACTGAAAAGAAACAGTCATGTTGGGTGTCGCCATTACGAACACTGTAGGCCCGGTCTTTCCGCCCTTGACTTTTATCACGTGCCCTTTGAATTAACATTCCCCAATACATGTACACAAATCGTCCTGTGTTTGCATGCCCATTGTAAAACTTATCTCGTATGAAGAAAACACATTGAGGTAAAGCCAGATGTCAATAAGGCTTGTTCTTTTTATCAATGATAAAATCCGCATTCTGTAGGTTTGTTTTGTATATTTTCCCCGTGTATACACGCCTGGGAGTTTATGTTTTCCCCGTGTATACACGCCTGGGAGTTTATGTTTTCGACGTTTATACACGCCTGGAAGTTTATGTTTTCCCTGTGTATACACGCCCGGGAGTTTATGTTTTCCCCGTGTATACACGCCTGGGAGTTTATGTTTTCCCCGTGTATACACGCCTGGGAGTTTATGTTTTCCCCGGGTATACTCACTTGGGAGTTTATGCTTTCCCCGTGTATACACGCCTGGGAGTTTATGTTTTCGCCGTTTATACACGCCTGGAAGTTTATGTTTTCCCTGTGTATACACGCCCGGGAGTTTATGTTTTCCCGGTGTATACACGCCTGGGAATTTATGTTTTCCCCGTGTATACTCGCCTTGGAGTTTATGTTTTCCCCGTGTATACTCGCCTGGGAGTTTATGTTTTCCCCGTGTATACACGCCTGGGAGTTTATTTTCCCTGTGTATACACGCCTGGGAATTTATGTTTTCCCCGTGTATTCACTCCTGGGAGTTTATGTTTTCGCCGTTTATACATGCCTGGGAGGTTATTTTTTCCCTGTGTATACACGCCTGGGAGTTTATGTTTTCCCCGTGTATACACGCCTGGGAAATTGTGTTGCTGATGTCAAACACCAGGGTTCTAACCACTACGATATACACCCGTTGTTTTACCAGTGCCCTGTTTCTTATTCAAAGTAATAAACATCCTGTATTTACTCCTCTCGACCGATGATGTCTTGATAGGCTATCCCATGAGTTCATCGAAGTACATTTGAAAGTCTTATGCTATATTTTCCATACAACAAGACATACATTATTAATTTAATTCATAAACATGATTTCTGGGATAATTTTATCCTTCAAGAGGCCCAAGGGCGCGTCCAAAAAGTGGTTCCGGTAAAACATTTGCAATAAAAGGGTGTGCCCCACAATTAGTTCCGGTTATACATGTACAGTAATAGGGTGCGCCTCACAACTTTAATCCAGAAATACATATACAGTTAAAAGGTGTGCCCTACAACTAGTTTCGGTAAAACATAGACAGTAATTGGTTCGCCCCATAACTTGTTCCAGTAATTTATATACAGTAATAGGGTCACCCTTCACCTAGTACCGGTGTACATGAACAATAATAGGATGAACCCCATAACTAAATTCAATATACATGTACAATAATAGGGTGCGCTCCACAAAAAAATCCATTGAAACATCAACAATAACACGGTGCGCCCAACAACTCATTCTGGTAAATCACGTACAGTGATAGGATGCGCCCCACAACTATGTAAGGGCGCACATTACAATTACTTCTGGTAAGAGACATAAGGGCTGAAAATAAGTTAGCCCCGGTTAGAAATCTAAGAGCACTTCTTCTAACTAGTTCTGATAAGACGTGGGGGCGCACCTTACAATTACTTCTGGTAAGAGATGTAAGGGCGCACCTTACAATAACTTCTGGTAAGAGATGTAAGGGCGCACCTTACAATTACTTCTGGTAAGAGATGTAAGGGCGCACCTTACAATTACTTCTGGTAAGAGATGTAAGGGCGCACCTTACAATTACTTCTGGTAAGATATGTAAGGGCGCACCTTACAATTACTTCTGGTAAGATATGTAAGGGCGCACCTTACAATTACTTCTGGTAAGATATGTAAGGGTGCACCTCACAACCACTTCCGTTAAGAGATATAAGGGTCCACCTTAAAGTAGTTCCGGTAGGAAATGTAAGGGCGCAGCTTACAACTAGTTCCGGTAAGAGATGTAAGGGAACACCTTACAGTTACTTCCGGTACGAGATATAAAGGCTCAACTTGAATTAGTTCAGGTAAAGTTTGAAATTTGATTTCTAAACTCGAAATGGTAATGTCCCTATATCGTTGAATCATTTCTGGATATATATATCTTGTACTTTTCTCAAAACTCAAAAGCATTTTCCATGGATAAATATTACTCTTGTGGTTGCCACAGAAGTAATTTTCCCGTTTTAGCGGACTGAAATTAAATTATTAAGGTTTGAACCAGAATATAAATTGGTACATATGAATGTCGATGGAGATATACCTATTTTATATATTCCACATTAGTTTACGATCTATCCACGGTAGACTAGCTAATGAAGCCCAATTATGAGATACATTTGTAGGGTAGTGGGGTGGGTGGGTGGTGGTGGTGAATGGATGAGAGCGAGGGAGAGGAGTGGAGGGAGGGGTGGTGAAAGGGATAAGAGCGAGATGGAGTGTTAGAGGGGAGGGGGCATATATATTTATATATGTACGGAAAATACAATATATTGGGGACCTTTTGATATTTGAACATGTTTAGAACCATGTACCAGTCAGTGTTAAGTCTGTCGTGAACTACATGTAGGTGATAAATGATAGTGCTGCAGCAGTAATTTACAGAGGATGAAGATACGGCTTGTGTCTGTACCAGCGGGACTGCTCCACCTGCCCTGCTCACAGGACACAGCTGCGGTACAATATTAAATCGCATCATCTTCATACTAACAGGTTACATGCGATTTTCTGTTGGCCTGATTTCGGATTTTTAAAATCTCTCACGTGAGAGTTAAATCTAAGAGGAGAGAAAACAGTTTAAGAACTATATTGGTTTGCCGGTTTTAACGCGCGCGTGCAGATAACGACGCGGTGTCAGGTTACATCTCGGGAAATCCCGTTCCTACTGCCACCGTCCAGCGCATTCCACTTCTCTTACACATTGGGTATCTCCTCAGACGGAGTTTATTTTGGAGTGAATTCGCCACGGCTAAAAATGAAATTGTTGGTGCTGTTGTGTGTGATATGTGTGATTGGAAGTTTTGTTTCGGCAAAGGTTTGTATATTTATTTTAATAATGATACAGCCATGGAGCTGCTCAGTTTTGTTTACTCCTCTTTTTTTTTCATTGGCGCAAAATAATTGATTTTGTATGTGTACATGTGTTTAGTTACCGCGATGTAAAAATAGTCCGTATAATTGTTTATTTATAAATATTTTGTTAGGGTATCTTGGTGTATACATGAACATGTTTAGTTAATATATATGTTCGTGTTAAATTAGTGTATATATGTTCGTGTTAAGTTAGTGTATATGTTCGTGTTAAGTTAGTGTATATGTTCGTGTTAAATTAGTGTATATATGTTCGTGTTAAGTTAGTGTATATGTTCGTGTTAAGTTAGTGTATATGTTCGTGTTAAATTAGTGTATATATGTTCGTGTTAAGTTAGTGTATATGTTCGTGTTAAGTTAGTGTATATGTTCGTGTTAAATTAGTGTATATATGTTCGTGTTAAGTTAGTGTATATGTTCGTGTTAAGTTAGTGTATATGTTCGTGTTAAATTAGTGTATATATGTTCGTGTTAAGTTAGTGTATATGTTCGTGTTAAGTTAGTGTATATGTTCGTGTTAAATTAGTGTATATATGTTCGTGTTAAGTTAGTGTATATACATGTATATGTTCGAGTTTAGTAAGTGTATATGTGCTGTGTTTAGTAAGTGTATATGTGCTGTGTTTAGTTTGTGTTAATGTATGTTTAGTAAGTGTATATTTGCGGTGTTTAGTTAATGTATATGTACGTGTTTAATAAGTGTATATGCACGTGTTAAGTAAGTGTATATACACGTGTTAAGTAAGTGTATATGCACGTGTTAAGTAAGTGTATATGTACGTGTTTAGTAAGTGTATATACACGTGTTAAGTAAGTGTATATGTACGTGTTTAGTAAGTGTATATGTGCGGTGTTTAGTCTGTGTTTATGTACGTGTTTAGAATGATATATGCACGTTTTTTTAATGCTTAAGAACACGTGTATATTCATATTTATTAGTGTATATGAGTTTAATTAGCGTTTATATGTATATACATTCGAGTGTTTAGTAAGTGTTTATGTGGGCAGATTCAGGTTATGTATATAGGCCATATTTCATGGTTTTAAGTGGAGACATATTTAACATAATACCCATTGTTTCCACGAGTGTCATACTCGTGAATCTAACGGTAAAACTATTGTTTTTTTTTATGAAAAGTAAAACGACGAAAGACCTGTGTGGGAATTAATAGCGTAACTTTTGACGTCAGATTCTAATGACGTCACGCTTGATAAGTGATGTATACGTGTTTTGCTAGTGATAATAGGTGTATGCACATGTGTTAAATTTTAGTTATGTGCACGCACTCATTTGTGAATATGCACACAAGTGTTAAGTGTTAGTGCATGCATGTTCAGCTAGTGTGTATATTAACGTACATTTATTTGTATTTTGTAATAACAAATGTGTGTTTGTCTGTGATATATTATGTGCATGCGCTTAGTTGTGCATATGGAAAAGTTTTTATTTGGTGTTTATACACACCTATTTGGTAAGTGTACGTATTTACACATATTTAGCTGTACTGTCATTATGTACATGTATGTTTATTGTTACTTAATGATGTTTTCCAGCACAGGTTCCATTCTAAGAATCCTCTTCGCTGGAAAGTGTTATATTTTACTGAAACAGTCATTCAGATTTAATGTTGCAGCAACCGTGGTTGACATTAAAACGCTTTCTATAAACTTCCTACATAGACGTAGAAACACAAAGGAGTACTAAGTACTTATACTAGACGACGCCCCTCTGTATATGCTGTACTTGAGAGTCACGCTGTATTGGGGAGGGGTCATCCCGTACCAGACGACTCCCCGTTATCAGTGCTACCAAGCCCTCCTAGCATACCATGTCCCCCGCACCATCCTCAGGTCTGATAACGACGTATCATCTGTCTGCAGGTCACTCTCCGTACAATTAACCAGACCGACATTAATCGCCTAGCGCAGCAGCAAAACTTGGTTAATTCATATATATATATAAGGTTTATAGAGGCACGTTTTAATGATTAGAATACAACACATTACTTCAAACAAAACAATAAACTTACAAAGTTCGGTTCATCGTAAATATTTCTCCTCTCCCGTATCAAAAGCAAAAATCACCCCGAAATGTGAGCTGTTTGTATTACGTTGCCAGTTATAAAGTTATGTTGCGTCCAAGTAAACAGACAATATTTTTTGTTTCGTTATATACATGTACGATTGGTATCTCTACTTGCATGGCTCTGTTAATTTGATTGTAAAAGCTAAAATGTTCATGTAAATCATTTTAATTTGTACGCGTTCTTTGAATTGGGTGTGCCTTTGCTGGTGCCAATTTCATTTTACCTCGCTGATCGGCCTTGGGCATGCAGTGGGTAATGGATGTGATTAGTTGGAACCCTAAGTGAGGCCCCCCAACATAGTTCAGTCAATGGAGAACTAGCCGTGGTCAAAATGTTTCTATTCCATTGTAGTTTTACAGAACACATTGACCTTTCAACAGAGTTCACCGTGCTAGTGGCAGCCGCGTCAGTTTGTTAACGCCTGTCTTGATGCTGATAAAATGTTCGTCTTTGATTGGACGACCGGTGTCTTAACAGGCTTCTTCTAGAACCCGTCCGCCTTTTATTTTCTCCTCAATCCTAAACATAACCCTTCCGCCTACATTAGCCATTTCTGTCTACATTAAGAGGAACGGCGACAACTGGTTCACCCGTTGTCAGTATAATGTGACCGGACGGAATTCTGTGCTTGGTGACTTCGGCATGGCATTTCAGTGAGATATCACTATAAAGTCGGCATCAGATCCGCGCTATCACAAGGAGGCAAGCACACCAACATACCCTGTCTCCTACATACACACACGCAAGCACGCATACACTACACACGTTGAGGAACTTCCTTAAATAACCTTAGCTGTTAATAGGACCTAACTTTTCCCAGGCACACTAGCCACTTCCGCCAATAGCTATCACTTCCGCTTACATTTATTTCTTCCGCTTACATTTACTCCTGCCGCCTACATTTACTCCTTCCGCCTACATTTACTCCTACCACCTACATTTACCCATTTTCTCTCTCACTATTATTTGTCCTCAACTCACATTTACACTCTCCTCTGCGACGTTAACCAACCCGCGTAACAATCACGTGTTGCTGTTCACGTGAACAATTCCTATTACTTATTTAGATATGTATTCAAGGATATGTTTTAAGTCTTTACACCATGACACCACGCGTGGCTCTATTGGGAAGAACTGGATTTAGTAATAAGATCACTTTTTTGTCAGAGCATTTTCTTGCTCATTCGCATGATATGCACTCGTATGTTAAAGGTACTTGTACCAACATTCAAATGTTCAGTTGATATTGATACATTTTTACAATTCTAAACGTCTCTGTCTAGAAATTCCGTGACCTGATTTGTGCGTGTACATTATGTATCGTGAGCTTGGTTTCCAGATCGTAGGTTTAATTTCATAACTAAGTTTGTGGTTTGGTTGGACGCTTTGATGATGTTTTTGTGTGTGTAGGTTTGGTATAGGATACATTCCGGATACTCGTGTAAGCCTGGTAGTAAAAGCTGACAAAAGCTGTCATCACTGTCATTTTTAAAGGAAGATATACTGTTAAAATGATCAAAGATGGCAACGTCTTGTCCAGGGGTCACCTGACAATGGTGACCTCTATACTACATGTACCTCAAGCGTTCAAGGAAAAGAACATCGTAGTCAAGAACAAGTATACTTGACGAAAATTTGAAACATCTCTGAATACCAAATTACATGTATGCAATCGCCTTGGTATATCATGAACAATATCAATTTGGGTTTTTCCTCCACCACCTTCATATATGACCATAGGGTTTTAGGACGTAAAATACAAACCAACCGAATCAAACACTATTTCACAAGCATAAGGCTACCTCCAAATACCACATAGTGGTATTGGTAATATCGATACGGTATGCAAATTCAACCAACATTGTAGAGGTGTACAAAGGGAGACACTTTCACTGTTTAACCTTTGTACTCATTAAATAGAAACTTATCTATTCTACAAAAAAAAAATTCAACTAGATAAATCACTCTTGTTGGCCAGGATGTAAGCGCACGTAGGTCTTAATGTGGGAGGAAACCCGGATTATCCGGAGAAAATCTAAGTGGTCGGACAGGTGACCCAATGCCTTTTTTACGTCGGATAGGGGAATCGAACCCCGGTCATCTTGGTGATAGGCCCCACCCGACCATCCTAAACTATGTATTATTTGGCCCCTTTCTTAAGAACCCGTTATACATGTATCTATATATAATAATTTATATCCCAAGATAATCAGTAATAAACGGAAGTTGAAATGGATAGTTGGGTTAAGACTTGGGCTCTGTATACATAAATCATACGTTTTGTTTACAGTTTTGCATGTTTTCCCTTTGTTAACTGCGTTCGCGTTCCGGTGTAATTATTCGCTTTTTTAGAATTAATTTAGCAAAACATGGTAGGAAGTCATGTGCATTGTACGACAAAAACATACTGCGTTGTGCGAATAGTACACGTACATAAATATGTACGAGAGACCTAGGTAACACCCTTATGATAATTGTTTGGGTTCTTCTGTGTTCGTTTTGAGAGAAGACACAGGCCAGGTACTTCTGTGTCAGACCTCCTATATCCAGCACGGTAATGTTAGGTAGTGAAAAGTAGAACTAACATTACGCTGATAACACCACGAAACGTTAAACATTTCTGGCAATGTCCCAAAAATACTTTGAAATCATACGAGCGCTTATCTATAAAATGGCAAATAATGTCTTTAGCATGATAGATACTGTTTATAGTGCCAAGGACTCCCGTCCAGTACCAAAGTCCTTCATCCTTGTTTATCGCTCACAGCAAGAGCTTCTCACAAAAACCTTCATTTCACAGACTTGCTCCAACATGGCGGTATTCTAATCCCCAGATGGAAGGATGCGCGCTCAGGAA